AGAAGAGGAACATCTTGACCATTTGCAGAAACTGTTTGAGAGACTAAAGAAATACAAGCTGAGGTTGAACCCGAATAAATTCACATTTGGGGTGAGGTCCGGTATACTCATAGGATTTGTCATCAGTGGTAAAGGTATCAAAGTGGATCCTTCCAAGGTGAAAGCAATACAAGAAATGTCTGCTCCTCGTACTGAGAAGGAAGTCAGAGGATTCTTAGGACGGCTAAACTACATTGCTAGATTCATTTCTCACTTAACAGCCACTTGTGAACCAATCTTCAAATTACTGAAGAAAGATCAAGTAGTTAAATGGAATGATAAATTCCAAACTGCCTTCGACAAGATCAAAGAGTACCTACAAGAGCCTCATGTTTTGATGCCACCAGTTGAGGGAAGACCCTTGATCATGTATCTAACTATTTAAGAAAATTCAATGGGGTGTGTGCTGGGGCAGCATGAAGAGTCTGGCCGAAAAGAGCATGTTATTTACTACATGAGCAAAAAGTCTACCGACTGTGAAACAAGATATTCACTGCTCGAGAAAACTTGTTGCGCTCTGGCCTGGGATGCTCGCCGGCTAAGATAGTATATGTTGACCCATACTACCTTATTGATATCCAATATGGATCCAATAAAATACATATTCTAGAAACCTGCCCTCTCTGGGAGAATAGCGAGATGGAAGATGATCCTGACGGAATATGACATTCAGTACACTACCCAGAAAGCAATAAAGGGAAGTGTGCTAGCCGATCACCTTGCTCATCAAGCTGTGGATGACTATCATTCCATGAAATTCGAATTCCCAGATGAAGACATCATGATGGTAAACAACTATGAAGAACTCAGAACATATGACGGACCTGAACAAGGATCCTGATGGACCCTGGTTTTTGATGGGGCGTCCAACGCACTCGGCAATGGCATTGGTGTTGTACTTATTTCCCCAGAAGGATGTCATACTCCCTTCACCGCAAGACTCTGCTTCAACTGTACAAATAACATGGCAGAATACGAAGCGTGTATTTTTGGTCTCAAAGCTGCCATAGATTTGAGGATCAAGTCCTTAAGTGTATTCAGAGATTCAGCCTTGGTCATCAGTCAGATCAAAGGAGAATGGCACACGAAGCACCCTAACCTTATCCCCTACAAAGAACATGTGTTGACATTAATCCCAAATTTTGAGGAGATTACTTTCGAGCATTTCCCGCGAGAATAAAATCAACTAGCAGACGCGCTAGCCACAATGTCATCCATGTTTAAACTCAAGTGGGGTAACGAGGCTCCCCAGATCACCATTGAACGGATGGATGAACCAGCTTACTGTCACGATATCGATCCTGAAGAAGTAGTGGACCAGCCTTTGTTCCATGAAGTTAAGAGGTATCTCGAGGCTCAAGAGTATCCGGAAGGAGCTTCAGTCAATGATAAGAAGTTCTTGAGGAGATTCTATGCTAAGTTCTTCATCATTAATGGCATCCTCTACAAACCCAACCACGACTCTATTGCTTTTTTGCATAGACAAGGTTGAAGCAGAAAAGATCATGGCTGAGCTACATAAAGACACTTTTGGCACCCATTCCAGTGGGCATATGATGGCAAAGAAGATCCTACAGGCAGATTATTACTGGTCTACCATGGAAGCAAATTGCTATCAACATTCACGAACCTGTCATAAGTGTCAGATCTATGCTGACAAAGTGCATGTACCTCCAGTTCCTCTGAATGTCCTGACTGCTCTCTGGCCATTCGTGATGTGGGCATCGATAGGATTGGATAAATCAAACGTACGGCCTCTAATGGACACCGCTTCATCTTGGTGGCCATTGACTACTTCATAATGTGGGTTGAGGCGGCTTCTTTCGCTTCCGTTACCAAGAATGTTGTCGCCCGGTTCACCAAACAAAATCTCATTTGTCAGTATGGTATCTTAGAGAGGATCATCACAGATAATGGTACAAATCTCAACAATACTATGATCACGACACTGTGCGCGCAATTCAAGATCCAGCACCATACTTCTTCCCCTTACCAGCCAAAGATGAATGGCGTTGTCAAAGCTGAAAATAAGAACATCAAAAAGATCATACAGAAAATGACAGTAAACTACAAGGACTGATATGAGATGCTACCATTCTCTCTCCACGATTACGGTACCACGACACACACATCAACTGGGGCAACACCTTACTCTCTGGTATACGGCATGGAAGTTGTCTTGCCTATTGAGGTACAAATCCCTTCTCTGAGAATCATGAAGGATGCAGGGCTGAATGAAGAAGATTGGATCCAAACTTGACTTGATCAACTGAACTTGATTGATGAAAAAAGGCTTATTGCTGTCTGTCATGGTCAAATGTATCAAAAACGGATGATCAAGGCTTTCAACAAAAAGGTCAGACGCCAAGTGTATCAAGTCGGAGATCTGGTGATCAAGCGCATCATACTGCCAAAAGGTGATCCCATGGGAAAATGGACTCCTACATATGAAGGACCGTTTGTGATCAAAAGCATATTCTCTGGTGGAGCAATGATCTTAACCACTATGGATGGCGACGATCTTCCGCACCCTGTGAATGTGGACATAGTCAAAAGATACTACGCATAAGAGACCCGCTAGGTTGACACACCTAGGAAAAACAAGGGCATCCCGGTGAACCAAAAAGGTTCGGGCAAAAATTAGGGATAAAACAAAAAATTTGTACACCCGGAAAGTTGAAAACCCGAAAGGGCAACTTGGGCAAAAAGGGCTATCCCGGTGGATTGAAAACCCGAAAGGGCGGTCCATGCAAAAGTTGGGGAATTAAAGCGTATGACTATGTCCCGTTGGATCACCTTATAGATAACCTTTGGTTTCGACTGACAAACTCAACGGGTCTAATCAATCCAATTAGATCCGGATAAGGCAGCAAGTGGACAAGACGCTCAGAGACACGAAGGCTATAGCAGAATGGGAACCCCATGGGGTTATTGCACATAGCTATCTTTTCTTTGTATCAAATTTTGATTTTTTACGACGACATTCTCTTACTAGAATGTTCGTCCCATTGTACAAAAAATACTTATTCGAGTTAATACAAAGATATCCCTTTGAAAGTGAAAAGTTACCTGTTTTTTTCTTTATTTCTGTATTTTGTTTACAAAAACGTCCAATGATTTATTTTTGAACATATGAATTTTAATGTAACTACTATTTACAAATGAAAAAAGAAAGAAAGACAATCACTAATAGCTTTAAGAAATAGGATAATATCTTTAGACTATAAAATCCCCCGCAGTGTGTGAAACAACTGGCTGAAAATCATCAAACAATGAAGTCTCCATCGAACGTCTTTTATCCCATACGTAGGGAAATGTAACATCGAGAAAACCTGATGAGGGAGAAGTCACGGTCTTGCGACCGAGAGATCGGGTAAGGGAGTCTTTTACGCGAGGAGAAGGTATTATCACCCCACACGCCCGTAGTACTATATGGTATCCACTCTTTTTATCTATCTTATGGGTGTGTTTAATCTATGCTTACTGTTTATTACACTATTGAAGGGAGAATGCATGCAAAAGAAAAGGAGAAAAGAATGTAGGGAAAATGAAAAGTTGTGCTCGTTCGGGCCCTACCCCGATGCCTACGTATCCCTTTTAAGGAATCAGAGTAGCCGTAGTTTGGCTTATATATTTTTGTTGATTTGTATTTTTTTACCGAACAGTATTAATTTCGCCTTCTGCCGTAACTCGGCCTTTGTAGATTCACACGTCAGCACATAAGTGAATTAACATATTCTTTCTGAAAAGGTTTGGAGGAAATGTGCTTGGGCGCACAAAAAGGTTTGAATTTTGTTTGTGTTTGTAATGAACAATTTTAATTTCTCCTTCTGCCGCAACTCGACCTTTGGAGACTTACGCGTCAGCACAGAAGTGAATTAACATATTCTTTCTTGAAAAGGTTTGAAAGGAAGGCCCAAAGACGAAAAGAGTTTTGTGTTTGTTGGTGTTTTTGCTTGTGGATAATAGCTAGTTAATCTCAAGAGAGGGATATTAGCCATTTCTCTACTTATTCATGAAATGATTCTTTGAGACTTGAACCACACCGAAGCCTAGAATAAGAGAATAATAAGATCGAGAAGAAACTCGTTTATCATCTCTCATACTTAACAAAGATACGATTCTCGTCAGTAAATTTTTTAGTATTTTGAAGTTTGCGAGAAAAAGAAGTTTTTGTTGTTTTAAATGCATATGCGAAAAGGGGAAAGAAAGTCACAGGAAGACTAGCCTATTTCTAAACCTAATTTTATCATGCATTGTACGACCTCTCGAAAGTGATAAATGCGGAGATGAGGAATAAAATGAGTTTGTGATAATACCGAACGGAGAAGGTTCGTTGCCTCTTTAAAGCCACGCAAGCGACAAGAAAACTCTACAGAAACTGCTCGGCGCGAGTGATCAAATAATTAATCTCACAGCATTCAACACTATGATAGTTGCATCAATATTCTATCACAAAATTTCAACTAAAATGGTAACGAAAATGATTATTAAACATGAAAATAATAGAAAATTCTAATAAAAGTTCTAAAGAGAATCCAAAAATTCTAAAAAATATGCTACTATTTTGCATCATTTTATCATGTGAAAAATTAATCAAAATCATGAATAAATCACACAAACAATTGCTAAAATAAAAATTGAAATAAATGAATTAACAAGAAAATAGAACATGAATGCGACAGGAGGTGCAAAGCCTGGATTAGGGTGCATGCTGCAAGCAAAAAATCAGAATGACACTAAGCCCAATATCACAATAAGTTTAATGAGGAGTTTTTTTGTTCACCACCTCCAATTTCCTCAAAAATGATACAACGGGCTTATGAGATATTATTCAGCCCAGATCCATCACTAATTATCTTTATTTTTCAGCATTATATTATTCTATTTTTTATGATTATTTATCATATAAAAAAAACAAATAAAAAAAATTAACCAAGAGAATGAAAGGGGATTTAGGGTTATAATTTGTGGCGACTGAACTTCTTCGCACAAAATATTTCTTCCTTCCGTCTTCGTTCCTCTTCTCTGAAACCAACAACGGCGACGATCTCCTCCACGTCAACATCACTTCGCCTTTTCTGGTAGATCGCCCCGTTCATTTCCAATCTCAGTATCAAACATCTTTGAACTTTGCCTTACGTCACCTCCGATTTAACCTCATCACTGTTTTCAACTCATTACTCCATCTATGTCTCAGGCTCCACCTTTACTTCAGTTCGCGGCTACAACTGTTTACGAGTCACACCTTGTAGCTCCATTAATTCTGCCTCAAACTCCTTCAATTCCGTCACAGCGGCTTCGTCTCGCACTCCGAAGAACTCCGGTGGTCCTTTCCGATTATTCAAATCGCCGCTCTTCATATCATCACTTCCATCTATCCCTATTTTTCGCATAACAACAAAGATGGAAGAAAATGAGGCTTATTGGTCAGAAATTATCTGAAACATCTTCAACGGCGACGATGGTAATAACAATCTGATTTGAACTTTTTTGTTTCCCTTTGCGTTCCTGATTTGTGCTAATTCGTGCGATGTTGTTGATTTGTGTAGAGAAATCGATGCATTGATGATGAGTGTGACCTTTTGATTGATGACAGTAGAGGAGTATTAATGATGTAATGTTGATGAAGAACCCTGCAGAAGCTGTTATGAGAATGATAATGCTTGAAGAATCGTGGATGAATTGCAAATTTATGCGCTTGGGGTGTTGATGTCGCAAAGAGAGGGAGTAAGTTGATGAAGAGGTTCAGAGAGAAAGATCGACAATGTTACTTGAAGATGATGCAAAGAACAACTCATATTTTCAGAGACTGCATAGAGAAACTTGCTGTTTTTTGGTGAGTTTCTTGAGATTTTTCTGTGTGTTGAAAATAACTGTAATGAATCTGAACTGAATGATGATATATGTCCCCCTCTGTAATCTATGAATTTCTTCTCTCAATTTGTCTACCCCCCTCCTCTTTCTTCTGTGATTCTGTTATATATATTTCTATAGAGTTTTTAGAGGCAGTTAGGGGTTATAGAGTTAGTTAACAGTTAGTTCTGTTGCTGCTATCAGGAGTTAGTTAGGTTAGTTATAGATCAGTTATAGGTTTGTTGGGGATTCTGTTAGAGTTTGTTATAGGTTGCTACTATTTCTGTTAGAAATTAGTTAGGAGTTAGTTTAAGAGGTTAGGAAGTAAAGAATTAGTTATGGCATGAATTAACTTAAACCCTCAATGCGAATATTAGTTAGCAATTCTGTTTTGGTTAAAACAATTGGGATTGTAAGTTCAGTTTAAAAATTGTTTGGTTGTTTTTTATAACTGTTAGCTTCTGCTTTTAATATTTTTAAGGAAGGAAAAGGTTGGCGGAAGTAAACAGCGCGTTCAATAAGCAGTCTTCGACACTTTGAGATATCCACCTCCTGAACTACTTCAAAGATAAATGTATCTAACAATTTTTGTGGGAATTTACAACTCTATCTTATAGGACGTCCAAAACTAATAAAGAACTATTCTATAATCTTCCTTTGCAGGGATTTCGTGAAATATGATGCAGGTATGAGTGACAGAAGCAGTATTGCAGATGTTAATTGCGGACAATTGGAAAGGTATGTTTTCTTTGAATATTCTGTAACTCGAATCCTGAGATGTTGCAAGTCACTATATCCGGAAATATCAAGTGAACCTATAGGTAGAATATTCAGTGCTCTTGCATCATTTAGGAATTTCTGGATGAAGAATAAATACTTTCAATGCTTCAGGTAAAAGCTCTAGAAAATGATATGCTTGTCCTAACATCCCATTGTAGTTGTCCTCTGCTTCACTATGCCTTTCTAAATTTTCCATGTTACTTTCAAGCCAAAGAAGAAGTGCATCAGAAAGATGCATCTCACTGTCAACTGTCAAATGAGGGTGCTTTACTGAAGATAACAACAAGTTATGTGGAATTTTTCCAAACAAGTTATTCTTTTTTTTTTGGACTGGAAGTTAGTTGCAGAATCGGTTAGGCAGTTAGAAGGTAGTTTATGATAGTTGGTGAGGGTTGGTTAGGAAACAGTTGGTAGGTTACTTAGAATGGTTAGTTATATGTTAGGATGATTAGGAAGCCAGTTTTGGGAAACTCTGTCTGCTGTTGTTTTTCTGGTAATGCAGGGCTGAACTGACATATACTTTTGGTTTTTTCTGAGTTGGTTGGTTGAATTTAATACAGGTTGAAACTTGGAGCATGAAGCTTGAAGAATACATGAAGATTGAGAACTTTGGCATGGCATGGACTTGGAAGTTTACTCATGGGATTTTAGCATCTTTAGGACTAAGGAATTTTGTTCAAGTGCATTTTATAACAGTTTTTCTTTGTGGATTATTGGTGTAATGAGATTGTAATGATTTTATAATGAAGGGTTAGTTTGGATGAACTTTAATATTAGAGTGTGAATTGTAAATGACTTTGAGCTTGTAATTCACTTCAAACCAAAGTAATGCAATATGTTCTTTGAATAAAATGTAACTTCGGGAAATCTTGAATCAAATGACAAATTATCAAGTATTCAAACTATTTTCTTTCCATTTTATTTTGAGTTTCTCATGAATGAAATGCTTTCCTTTCTTTTGGGTTTGGTATCCCAAGTCCTTCTTTGACCTTATGTTTGTGAAATTCCAATGTCTCGCATTCTATCAATTTGAATGAACTCTTTTGCTTAAATATTTTCAAATGAACGAATCTAAGCTTCTTTAAATCAACTTGAGTGAATACATGCTTAGATGGCTTCATGTACTTAATCCATAACCCGAACCTTCCATATGAAACTTTAGATTTTGGTCTTAAAAGTATTGAAATGACAATTGAAATTGGATTTGGAGTATAACTTTGATTTATACAGGGGAATATGACTTCTTTTAAAAAATGATAAAGTTTGAATTTCCCTCCATTATGCTTTAATTTGAATGAATCTTCAAGCATCTAATATTTTCTCCAATTTTAAATCTTGAACCTTGATTTCATATTATTGTATTTCATTTGGATTCTTCAATATTTCTCGGATGAGTTTTGTGATACTTGGTATTTTGGAGATGAAGTATGACTTGAATCTTTCTTTCCCTCCAAAATCTTCTTTTAACCTTTCAAATTTTGCTTCAAATTGCATCCTTTAATATAACACATCATGAGATCAGATACTCTTAGTCAATCAAAGAAACTTAAGTAAGATATTTTCAGAACCTTGGACGCAACTATGACCCAATACACCACGTTCACCTCAAAGCCTTATGTGAGAACCAAAGAGATAACTTGTATGGCCTAAGCAATGTAACATCTTGATCCTCAAGCATCATAGCTAATTGAAAGGATTTATTTGAATCAATGATAAACAAAGATCAAACGGTAAAGTGGGCACCAGTATATCCACATTTGTCTTCTGTATGAAATTTCCAATCACATAGCTTGTGACTTAAGTAATGAGTTCCCCCTTTCAATTTACAAAGAAAGGTCGAAAGAAAACCATAGCTAGTCATTGACAAAGAATCTTTTACTATTAGCCCTGCCAAATTCATCCGACAAACCCAAGCATAGGGAAATAAACCCTAATCAAAGGATGACTTTGAGCACAGGGAGATAATGAATGCTTGATTTAGTATCCCTTAAATGACCTCGTAGAACAACTTGGAAATGAACATGGGGATACAGAAAGAAATATGACCAAGATGGCCACTACTTGATTACGATGAAGAGAACGCCTCAAATGAAAACCAAATCAAATCCGAACACCAAGGATTAGAAACCCTAATTCACACTTGCATCGTCCACCCCATAAAATCTTGCATCTTAAGTCAAAGTTGATAGGAAAAACACCCTTGAATCCTGATATGCAAATCCCTAATTGGTGAAATAGGGAATATATTATTCCACCGTATCAACGTATAATCAACCTCTAGGAGCTTCAACAATGAATGTACCTTTGTATATACCATACTCCCTTAGGATGTGCTTGTTTCTTTCACGATTCGAGCTAGACCGTAGGATAGTAATCCATGCATGCTAACATAGATAGATATTTCCCCTTTATAATTGATATAGGGCTATCATTGTATGATAACATTAAGGATTAGATTCTAGTTAGCCTCCTTTAGATGTTTTTTTTTCATTCTTTTGCATTCTTGCATTAAAACTAAAACATTTTTCTTGACAAATCATAAAACATCTAAAAAATTTCAAATCCTTTTTCAAGGTAAAAAAGATCAACCAACATAAACTCTTTTTTTCCTACGGACTCCTTTCCTTTTCTTTCAAACTTTTCAAAAGAACGTGGTAATTACTTTTGTGCTGAAGCGTGAGTCTCCTAAGGTCGAGCTGCGGCAGAATGCGAAATTAATGATGCTCATTAAAAAAAAACCCACCAAAACATGTGAGCCAAACTAGGGCTTCTATGATTCCTTAAAAGGGATACGTAGGCATTGGGGTAGGGCCCGAGCGAGCACAACTTTCATTTCCCTATATTATTTTCTCTTATCTTTTGAATGCATTCCCTCTTTGAATTTTTTTAGACCTTAGACATAGAATTTAACCACACCATTTAGATTAGAATAACAAGAGTGAATAACATAGAGCATTACAGGCGTGTGAGGTGCTAATACCTTCCCCTCCCGTAACAAACTCCCTTACCCAATATCTCAGCCATTTGACCATGATTTCTCCCTTCTCAGGTTTACTCAATATTTGTCTTTTCCTTCCCGTGGGATAAAAATGTCTGATGACGACTTCATTGATTTAATTATCAATTAACAGTTCAGCCGGTTGTTTCAGAGTTAACTTCATCAAGCTGGATTTTGGTAAAACATTGAAGGTAGAACCAGTATCGGTGAGTACCCTAGACAGGTTAGTTGTACCTATCTGAATAGACATGTGCAACGTCTTGTTGCGAGCTCTACCTTATGGAGGCAACTCGCTATTATTGAAGCCTAGGTATGATCTGGATGTTAAGTTTGCTACGACATTGTCTAACTAATTCATTATGATCTCCTTTTCAACATGAGCGGAACTTAGAACCTTCATTAGAGAGTCTCGGTTCACTTCATAATTGAGGAGCAACGAGAGTATTGAAATCTTGGTCAGGGTTTGGTGTAGCTGATCCACCACCCTATAATCACTCCTCTTGATTATTTTTAAGAATTCTTCCGCCTCTTGGTCGATAGAATCCTTGCTTGGAGGTTCTTGTTCTTGTCTTGCCTCTATCATATCTTTCCCTTTATCCTTAACCATAACATCATTCCTTTTTTGTGGATTGGGATCATAGATTCGTCCATTGCGAGTCATACCCCTTATTCCAGCTATATTTATGATCGCAGGTCCTTGACTTGTTGATGGCTTACATTCTTGCTTTAAACCATTGATATAGATAATATAATCATAACTCCATGGTACCGCTTTGTTACTTTCGTAAGGAGTGGGAGATGTCCCCCTAATCACCATTGTACTCTTCAAAATTATTGGAATTCTTAGAGTCTGGCGTGGTATCATCACTAGTGCTTCAGTTGACTCTTCCCATGGAGTCACAACAATTTTCTTTAGGACTCGGCCCTTGGAAGAGAATTAATAATGGCTTCTTTGTATTTCCATCGATCGTAGCTACATATTCTTCTTTAGGGTATTGCCCGAATTTGACTATCCCCTGATCCACAAATTTCTGTAATGTCTTCTCAAAAGCTTTGTTGTGTTCCAAGAGGAACCCACATTCAAACAAATATTCTTTTAAAAGGTTTATCAGAGCCTTTTCTCGTCCGTCTGCCCCAAAGTCAGTTATCACTTCATTTGCATTCACAGTTGGCCCGCCATGCGGAGGAATGGGATTTGTCTTGATGTTTGGCTTGTCAAAAGTGATATCTTGGGAATCCAAAAAATCTTGAACCTTATGTCTGAAGCCCCAACATTTTTCTATGGTATGCCCCGGAGAATTGGTATGATATCCACACTTGGAATTTGCATCATACATTGGCGGGAGTGCCCCAATTGAAGGAGCTAGAGGCTTCAGCTCTACCAAAGATGCTTTGATTAAGTGTTGCAATAATTGACTGTGCGGCATGGGGAGATGATCAAATCTTCTCGGAGGCCTTTCAAACTTGTTTTGTTGTTGTTGCTATCGTGGGATATCTAATGCTTGTTGTATTCTTGGATGCAATGCCACAACGTTAATTTCTCCTTCCTTCTTTTCCGAGAGGTTAGGAATATGCCTCTTTGAATTATAAGGGGTACTGGATGATGCCCCTTATATCTTGCCACTTTTTATGCCTGCTTCAATCCTTTCAACAACAGTTACCAAATTAGAAAATCCGGAAGAGACGCTTCATACCATTTTATCATAATATAACCCTTGTAAAGTTCTTACGAATATATCGACCAATTCTTTCTCCATGAGTGGTGGTTGTACACGGGGTGCCATTTCTCTCCATCTTTGAGCATACTCTTTGAAAGACTCATCATTTTTATGAGGTAAGTTTTGGAGTTTCATATAGTTACGAGACATGTCCAAATTGTACTTGTATTTCCTCAGGAAAGGATTGGCAAGATCTGCCTATGTTTGGATATAAATTCTCTCCAATTGCATGTACCAATCTAATGATGCTCCACTCAAATTGTCTTGGAAACAATGGATCATCAATTTCTAATCTTGAGCATATGCATGCATTTTTATGCAATACATGCGTAGATGGTTCCTTGAACATGTGATTCCTTTATATTTTCCAAAGTCAGGTACTTTGAATTTTGGAGGGATCACCACCTCCGGAACTAGACTCATTTTGAGAGCATCAACATCGAAAGCATTGTAACCCTCCACAGCCTTCAACCTTTCTTCCAGAGCTTTATACTGATTGAGCACCAACGGATTCTTAACCATCTTAGGTTGGTGTGTCTAAGTAACACCTTCTAAATCAATGTCTCCATACTGTAGATCTATCTAATTGTCTGCATTGTTGACCAAAATTTGCAAAGTATGGGATGCCTTACCTTCAGTGGAGGTGGGATAAACCCTTCAATATCAGCTTGTCTAACCTCTTATTGAGCTACAGTTGACTTTAGAGGTCCTGACTCTGGTTCTCTTCTTGGTGGGTGACCGCTCGATGCACCAATAGTTTGGGCTACTTCTTCAAAGGCTGCCCTAGGAATTTGTTCTTGTTTCTCAATGATGTTCTTCAAAGATAGAATAACTTGGCTCATGTCTTCTTTCATTGAGTCGATATTACCATTCACTTGCTCCAAATATTCCTTGAAGGAAGCTTAGTTTTCTTTGATCTATTCCATCACTTTCTTTTGATGGGCTCTTGTTTGATATGGCGGACAGAGAGGTGGTGCTTTCTTACTAATGACTTTAACTAGAGATG